GCCTGCTCGCACTTTCACTCGCGGCAGATGCGCGGGCGCGGCGTCGCGCATGGCGACCCACGGCTCTGAGAAGGTGAGGGGGCATTTATCGACTCGGAGGCGCGCCGCTTCGCCCTGGGGCCTTGACAAGCAGACCAGGTCGATCTTGCGCGAGATCAAGTGAGCATCACTCCTCTTTGGCTTAGGCGACGCCACCGACCTGGCGCTGGCGGCCGCGAAGCTGGCCTCTTGGCCCCGCTACCTCGGCGCCCTGAGGCGGCCGCATGCGTTCTTCGTCCGCAGGGCCTTGACCATTACCTCGCTCGAGTCGGCGGATGTTTTCATGGTGGAGCTGGTCCAAGAGATGCACGCCGACGGCGACGACCGCTCCGCGGGGCAGGTGCTGCACGCGGCCGGGCAGGCGAGATGCCCGTTGGCGGGCCGCAGGGGCGCCTCGCTTACACGCGCTTTTCGAGGCCTCCAGGCTTGGGCGAGGCCCCACCCTGCGACGACGAGGCCGCCCACGCCGTGGATCGTCGCGGCGCTGGTGGCCCAGGTGATGATCGACTGGGGGGGGGGGGGGCCGCTGGCGGCGCTGCTGGCGGTATTCTGCTTCGCGTGCTACCTGGGGCCCTCGGAGGGGCTGGACCTGCAGGTGGCCGACGTCGCGGCGCTGTCGCACCCCGCCTCCGCGCTCGCGGCGATCAACCTCCACCACCCCGAGGAGAGAGGCCAGACATCGAAGACCATGGCGACCAACGAGTCAAAGAGAGCTTGTTGATCGATCACCCTCGTCGCGCCTTCGTCGGCCAGTCCCTCCCCCCGGCAGCGCGGAAGACCGCAGGAACGAGGATCTCCCCGTTCACGATGCCGCGGTCCAACGCACTCTTCCAAGCGGCCCAGGCGGAGAGGGGGATGGGCAAAATTTACGCCCTATACCAGCTCCGGCACGGCGGCCCCTCGGAGGACAAGAGGGGCAACCTGCGGACGCCGCGAGAGGTGAAGCAGAGAGGCCGCTGGAGCGCCGACGCCTCGATGCGGCGCTAAAAGGTGGCGGCCAGACTGCAGCGCGAGGAGGCGCGGCTGCCGCGAGAGGCGCGCGGGCGGGCGCTCGCGGCGACAGGCAGCCTGCTGGCTGCCCTACGGCTGCCTTGGGCCGCCGCCAGGCGCCCGCCGCCGCCGCCTGGGTTGCTTCGTCGAGGTCTTCGCTGGGCGCCGCAGCCTCTCTCGCGAGCTCGCGCGGAGGGGTTTTACAGTCTGCACCTTTGACGTGGCGCACGCCGCCGGCCAAGACATCTTTAGGGCTGACGCCTGGCACGCCTTCGTTTTTCTCGCTTGTGCTTCTGACTGTCGCCTCGTCTGGCTGGGGGGCCCTTGCGCCAGCTGGTCCAGAGCCCAGAAGGGGAGGGCCTGGTCCCGCCCTCCTTCGGGGCTCGGGGCCAGGGCAGCTTGGCGCCCCTGGCCTCAGCGAAACGGATTCTAAGAAGGCCCGCTCAGGCAACTCTCTGATGCGGGCCCCAGCGGCCCTCGCTCGATTGTGCTGGGATGCCCGAGTTCGCGTGGTCACCGACAACCCAATGACCTGGATGATTTGGTTGATTCAACAGCTCCATTGTTTAAGGCGTCTTGGGGCTGAAACGTTCACAGCTAGCTTCTGTCCGTACGTAGCCCCGTGGCAGAAGAATTCTTCAATGCTTGCGCTCGGGTGCCCGTCTCTGGTAAATGCCAGTAGATGCGTAATACACACAGGCCGTTGTTCCGCTATAGATAAGAAGCTTGAGCAGTTCGTCGGTATGACGGCAGCTGGAAAATGCAGGACTTTAGCTGCACAGCCCTACCGATATTTCTTCGTGAAGCATGTGTGTGGTCTTCTCTTGGTATGCAGCCAGCCCTAATCTTGGGGTTGGGGGTCCCGACGCGCTTTTCTATGCCTGTGATCAGCGTGTGTTCGCTAGCCGCTCTCAGGCCCTTCAGTCCTATCGGATATGCTTCGCGCCTCTGGCGGTGATAAAGCAGAGCCACATGAATGAGCTCGCTCGGGGATGTTGTCTGCGCGTGGAGAACCACGCTGTCTTGGAAGCGTCGTTCCATTCCATGGCAACGATGGCTCAAGTTTTTTTCTGGCGATCCCCGAGCCTAGCCGCTTCTCCCTCCTGCTCAGCAAAGCTTAGGGTTCTCGACACGCTTTTCAGTGCCTGTAATCAGTGAATGCTCGCTGGCCTGCTCTCAGGCCCTTCAGTGCTATCGGATATGCTTCGCACCTCTGGCGGTGGTTAGAAAGCAGAGCCACATACATATGCTGCGAGGGAGTCCTGAGCGTGAGTGCGACTCCTTGGTGCCTGAGTGTCAGGGGCGCTTCGCTTGTTTAAATTGCGGGGGGGGGGTCCAACGCAAGAGTGCGATTCTTGAGAAAATCGCAAGCAGGTCTTGAGCGACGCCGCGGCTCCAGAGCGCCGTAAGAGCGATTCCTGCATAACTTGTACGGAAGTCTCAGGCGAGAGCGCAATTTTTGAGTAACATGCGAGGTCGTCTCAGGCGGGAACGGGGGTCGTGGCTAAATTGTGAGGAGGTTTCAGGCGGGAGCACTTGTTGTTGTAAACCGGGGGCGAACAACGCAGTTTGACCCCCGTATGAAAATGGTGCGATCCCCGGGGGGATCAGTTCAGATTAAAAACACAATGGTCACCGGAGGGGGAGTCAACTAAGTTTGTTGTTCCAGTCGTGGGAGATTAACAACAACACGAACAACAGCAACAACAATAACAATAACCGCAACAACAACAACGATCCGCATCGCGGAATCCCATTTCAGCCACGCACCCAAGGACAGTGAATGACCGTTCGGCCCCCTCACTCTGATACTAACCGGGAACAGTGATCAGCCCGTCCCACAAGCGAAAGAGTGAGCTTCGGCAGAGAGAGAGAGAGAGAGCGATAGAGAGATAGAGAGAGAGAATATTCAACTCGTTACAACCATCTGCGTTCAGATGGTTTGTGGGATCTTTCATTCAGTGATTCCAGGGCGAACGTTTTGTGATCGTCGCGAAAGGTGCGACTTTTGATGCGGCGCGCTTGTCACCCGTGTGCGTCAGAGATTTGGTTGTTGAGGCAACCCACTTACCACCTACCGTGAACATTGCCAACTCGATCAACTCTTGCATTTTCTCGGTGATCGTCAGTACCGTCATGCGCAAGGAATTTGGTTGCGATGGCTCGATTTCGAAAACTGGCATTGGCCCTTCAACAACTCAGCACCTCGAGGCCGAACCGCAACATCATGAGCCGAGGGGACGCGCGACGAGCAACAGCTGCTCACCCATTTTTCGTACAACATACAGGAAGGGGAGGGGGAAGGAGGAGGGAGAGGACGAGGAGGAGGAGGGGGAAAAGGAGGAGGAGGAGAAGGAGGAGGAAATGGGGGAGCAGGAGGGGGAGGATGAGGAGGGGAGGAGGAGGAGGAGGAGGAGGAGGAGGAGGAGGAGGAGGTGATGGGGGACGAGGAGGAGAAGGAGGAGGAGGAGGAGGAGGAGGACCAGTGACAACCCAAGAGTCATCAACGATGTTGGAAGAACCCCTCCCTCCAAGCTCCCTCTTCTCAGCCCCCTGCAACGATTCATTTCCACAGGGAACTGCCCTTTTGGAAAGCAACCCCACAGGGAACTGCCCTGTTGGAAAGCAACCGTTTGAAAACCCTGAGGCATGCCAAAACATTGTTGTCGGGATTCCAAGGCAACGGACCAACGTGACTGTTGCGTCTTGGCGATCTTGCACGGTGCCAGAACACCATTCTTGGGACTTCATCACTGCGAACCAACGTAAATGATTCACCCTCATAATCCTGAATCCTTCCAAAACACAATTTCTGGTACGACGATCATGGGAACCCGTGAAACTCTTGCAAATGTTACGGACGAATGTCCGCGACGCTAACGCGAGAGCCACAGTTTGAAAAGGAACCGCCCTCAATGTGTGAAGCTCCTGCAACTTTTAAAATTAATGAACGCGGCTTGAATGCGAGGGCCACATGTTGAAAGCCACGCGCCGTCAATCCGCTAAGCGCCTACAACTGGTTAAAACGAATGTGCGCGTTCAGGCGAGAGTCACATTCTGAAAGTGACCCGCCCTCCATCTGTGAAATTGTTGTCAGTGTTAAGCTTCAGCGTCATCAATGGTCAGGAAGTCTGAGGCGAAACGCCCGGCCCGCCCTAAAAATTGGCCTCGGGATGCGACAGGGAGGAGGAGGAGGTGGAGGAGGAGGAGGTGGAGGAGGACGAGGACGAGGAGGAGGAGGAGAAAGACAAGGAGGAGGAGGAGGAGGAGGAGGAGGAGAAGGACAAGGAGGAGGAGGAGGAGGAGGAGGAGGAGGAGGAGGAGGAGGAGAGGGAGGAGGAGGAGGGGGAAGGGCAGGAGGAGGAGGCGGAGGAGAAGGAGGAAGAGGAGGAAATGGGGAGGAGGGGGGAGGAGGACTCGTTCGGACACCCTCCCCATTGGCGGGCGGCGACCCTTTTCGGGTCCCCGTCCGCAGCCCGTCCGGCGTCCTCCCTCCCCGTCGTCGTCCTCGCCGCCGCCCCCCTCTTCCCCCCCAGCTTTGGTCAGGAGGGGAAGAAACACACAGACACAATTAATCGTCGATTCCCAGGAAAATATGCGAAAATATGGGAAGTGGTGGGGAAGACAAAAACCCAGAAAATATGGGGAAATATGGGGAATAATTTTATTTGTGTGTATTTATTTGTGTGTCCCAGGGCCCCTTGATTTGGGCCTTGACGGCATGGTCCTCACTCCTGGCATGCCAGCTGTGCTGGCTCGTGTTCACAACGGCCGCCCAGCGTACCGCCGCGAGTACCGCCCCCAGTTCACGCCGACGGAAGCCACCTCGGGCTTGCCCTTTTGGCTCGCGGGGGGAGAGGTCCTCCTCGCCTGCTACGCCCTCCGCTCGGCATGCCTCTCCTCCTTCGTATCCGCGTGCTTCTCATGTTCCCTCTTTTTCATTGTCGCTGGCTTCCTTCTCAACCTTTCCTAGGGCCCGAGCACCAGCCTTCCAGCGGGCACGCGCGGCCATCCGCTGGGGCCTCGGGCGGAGGCCATGAGCCACGCGGCCGTTGAGGCCTATCCCGCACTCTCTCACTTGCTTCGTTCGCTCACCCGCTCGACTCATCCAAGCTTGGCTTTACCTGTTCCGTGTCAAAGCTGACATAAGCGGGGGCTATTCACGCTTTCTCGATCGCCATATCAACCTCATCCAACCCACTTCGCCGCAACATCACTTGTCCCCTCTCCATTGTTATCCTCTTACTCGCGTGCCTCCTACACACAAGCACAAACACATACACAACACAACCACAAACACTTTTGCGTCGGCGGCTAGGCAGGGGTCGTCTGCGCTTGCGGGAGAAGCGAACTACACGGGGGCACCGTTGTAGCGAATTGGCCATCATGCAAGAGGCAGGGAGGGCGCACACACACACATATGTTTATAGATGTGCATATATATATATATATATATATATATAGGAATTGATGTTCTGACCGTCGCCGTGCAAATGCAGGGTCCCGGGTGGGTCCTCTTCGGGGTCATTTGAAGCCGTTTTCGGGCCGCTTTGGGGGATTCCTGGGCCGTCTTGGGGCCCTCTGAGGCTTCTGGTCCCTCAGAGCAATAGTGGGAGACTCTTGGGGCTGTTCTGGGGCGGTCTGGGTGCCCAGTTGGACCCTTCGGCGAAGCCCGCTACGGTGCCACGAACGTGTGGGTGGTGCACCGAAATGTGGCGGGTGATCATGCGAACCCTGCCGCTGGGGCCTTCGGTGCAGCTCTACATGTGGCCGCGAAGTTTGCGAAGGGTGCGCAGAATTAGAGCGGGTCACCATGCGGACCCTGCCTCTGGGGCCTTCGGCGGAGCTCCCGATGGGCCCACGAAGCGTACAAGGTGTGTGTGTGTGTGTGTGTCTGTGTCTGTGTCTGTGTCTGTGTCTGTGTCTGTGTCTGTGTCTGTGTCTGTGTCTGTGTCTGTGTCTGTGTGTGTGTCTGTGTGTGTGCTGAAATTCGGCTGGTAATCATGCGAACCCTGCCACTGTGGATGCCGGCGGAGCCCCCTACGGGGCCACGAACGTTTGGGTGGTGCACCGAAGTGTGGCGGGTGATCATGCGAACCCGGCCGCTGGGGCCTTCGGTGCAGCTCTACATGTGGCCGCGAATCGTGCGAGGGGTGCGCATAATTAGGGCGGATCACCATGCGGACCTTGCCTCTGGGGCCTTCGGCGGCGCTCCCGATGGGGCCACGGAGCGTACAGGGTGTGGGCCGAAATTCTGCTGGTAATCATGTGAACCCTGCCACTGTGGCTGCCGGCGGAGTCCCCTATGGGTTCACGAAACGTGTGGGGTGTGTGCCGAAATGGGGCGGGAATCTGTGCGGACCCTGCTGTTGGGGTCTTCGGTGGAGCCCCCTATGAGGCCACGAACCGTGTGAGGGGTGCGCCATACTTGGGCGCCACGGGTCAACCTGACTGTTGCGCCTTGACGATCTTGAATGGTGCCAGGACGCCATTCTTGGGATTTCAACATTGCGAACCAACGTAACTGATTCACCCTCTTAATCCTGAATCCTTCCAAAACACCATTTCTGGTGCGCTGACTATGGGGATCTGTGAAAATCTTGCAACGAATGTGCGTGGCTCTGAGGCGAGAGCTAGATTTTGCAACGGAACCGCCTCCAGCCCGTGAAACTTCTGCAAATGTTTAAAACGAAAGTGCGCAGCGCTAAGCGAGAGCCAGTTATCGGAAGACATCCACCCTCAAGCCGTGACACATTTTAAAGTTTTTTGAGACGAATGTGCGCGGCGTTAAGGCGACATCCAGGTTTTGCAACCCACCCGCCCTCAATCCGTTAAAATGGTTAGAACGAATGCGCGCGCCGCTTAGGCGAGAACCACATGTTGAAAACGACCCGCCCTGCAGCTGTGAAACGGTTGTCAACGTTTCAGCTTCAGGGTCATCAGTGGTGAGGACGTCTCACGCGAAACGCCCGGCCCGCCCTAAAACCTGGCCTCGGGGTGCGACAGGGAGAAGTTATTCATACGGAAAAAGGAATGGACGAGGAGGAGGGGGAGGAGGAGGAGTAGGAGGAGGAGGAAGAGCATGCGAGGTGACATGGAGCGCGGCGCTGCAAGCTCGAAACGCACAGGAGGGTTGGGAGCAAATGTTCCACGGTGCGGGGAGTTCTGGAACCCTCGCTCCCCCCTCTGCCCCTCCGCCCCCCGCTCTCTTCCCCCCCTTGGATTCTCCACCGCCTCCCCCGCCTCCGCCCCTCGCCAGGCGCGTGGGCCTGCCCCGCTGAGCAGGGTGTCCGCGAAGTTCAGGCCCTCTATGGGGTGGCCAGGGCCAGAGCGGACACTGCACCGCCGCCGCGACGGCGACTGCCAGCGCCGCCGCCGCCGCAGTCGGTGGGCGTTCCCGTCCGAGCGCGACTGTGGGGCCAGGTCGGGGTGGCCCCTGGACCCCTCGGCGGACCTGCGTGTGCCCAGCCTCTCCGAGGTCGCGCGCAGGAGCTCCCCGTGGGCGGAGAGCATATCCGCCTCCACGGCCTCGCAGGCTGGGCCCCCTGGCCCGCGACCCCGTCGATGCACGGCGTTGTTCTCGCGGACGCCCGGGACGGAACGCATCCATGCACAACCGCGCATCCAGGGGACTCGCGCCCGGGGGTCCCGACCGCCAGGCGGCTCTGATGTGGACACGCTCGCCGCTCCCGGGCTCCGGGGGAGCGAGGTCGGAGCCGACCTGGACAAAGTTTGATGGGCCAATTTTCCACCACCTCTACCATAGGCAGGAGAAGAGGGAGGAGGGAGGAGGAGGAGGAGCAGGAGGAGGAGGAGGAGGAGGAGGCGGATCAGGAGGAGGAGGCAGGAAGAGGAGGAGGAGGAAGAGACGTAGGAGGAGGAGGAGGAGGAGGAGGAGGAGGAGGAGGGAGGAGGAGGAGGAGGAGGAGGAGGATCAGGAGGAGGAGGAGGAGGGGGGAGGAGGAGGAGGAGCAAGAGGAGGAGCAAGAGGAGGAGGAGGAGGGGGAGAGGAGGAGGAGGAGGAGGAGGAGGAGGGAGGAGGAGGAGGAGGAGGAGGACCTCCCCATCCTCCGTTCCCCACCGTCCTACCTATGGTATTGGTTGTGGAAAATTGGCCCATCAGTGTTTTCCCTGAGCAGGAGCGGCGGCGCCACGGACGGTGCCGCCGCCGTGCCGCCGAGGTGCAAGACCAGCGCTAACCGCATGACTGTTTGCAACCCCTGGTCTCGTGTAGGAGAGGAACAAGTACACGGAGACAGTGAATCGTCGACTCGACCCCAGAAGATGTGGGAAAAAATTGGAAGGGGGGGGCAAGACGAAAGTCCAAAATATATGGAAAAAGATGGGGGGGGCTGGGATTTGCGTGTGTGTGTGTGTGTGAATGTGTGTGTGTGTGTGTGTGTGTGTGTGTGTGTGTGTGTGTGTGTGTGTGTGTGTGTGTGTGTGTGTGTGTGTGTGTGTGAGGGTGTGTGTGTGTGTGTGTGAGTGTGTGTGTGTGTGTGAGGGTGTGTGTGAGGGTGTGTGTGTGTGTGTGTGTGCTTACCCGTGTGCCCATAGACCCAGTCTTTCTGCGCCATTTCTCGAAGCGACCCCTCTGTGATAGCCCCTGCGCCCGAGAAACAACGACAACGCCCGGCTCGAACACATCGAGACGCCAGGACCTCAGGGGCCCCGAGCTGCCGCGCGCTGGAGCGGCCTCGCCTCCTGCCTCGCCGCCGACGAACGAACAAACGGCCCCTCCTCCTCCTCCTCCTCTCCTCCTCTCCCCCCTCCTCCTCCTCCCCTCCTCCTCGCCTCCTCCTACCTCCTCACTCCTCCCGAGGTCTCTGTGACGGCCCCCGTGGGCCCGCGGGCGGCCCCCCGCGCGCCGGCGGCCGGAGAAGCGGCGAAGAGGGCCAGAGGCGCCAGCAGCAAGCAAGCATCGGCGCCCGCAGCAAGCGACAATCCTCCTCCTCCTCCTGCTCCTCCTTCCTCCTCTCCTCCTCCTCCTCCTTCCTCCCTCCTCCTCCTCCTCCTCCTCCTCCTCCTCCTCCTCTCCTCCTCCCTCCTCCTCCTCCTCCTCCTCCTCCCTCCTCCTCCCTCCTCCTCGAGTTCCTCCTCCTCTTCCTCCTCCTATTCCTCCTGCAGGGCGCACGCGCGCGTGCGTGCCTGCCCGCGGCGTTGGCGAGCGTGCCTGCGGGCGCAGAGGTCATGCTGTTGGCACGCGTGCGGGCGTGCGCGGTCTGCACCGGCCGGGGCACTGGAGCCTCGGGGCGGGGCCGGGGAGCGGGGCTGGGCAGCCGAGGGGGAGGAAGGAGAAGAAGGAGTACGAATAGAAAAAAGAAGAAGACGAGTAGTAATAGTCAGAAGAAGCAGGAGAAGGAGAAGGTGAATACTCAGAGCAACCATATCCATACTCGTAGCACTAATTATTGTGCTGGCCTTCGGACAGTAACGCCGATCCAGGGGTCTCTGGAGAATGAGGATGATGATGATGATGATGATGCTGATGATGATGATGATGATGATGATGATGGTGATGGTGATGGTGATGGTGATGATGATGATGATGATGATGCTGCTGATGATGATGAAGATGATGAGTATGATGATGGTGAAGGTGAGGTGATGATGATGATGATGATGATGATGATGCTGATGTTGGTGATGATGTGGATGATTGGGATAATGTTTATTATGGTGAGGGACATGGTGAAGAGCATGAAGATGGTGATGACGACGGCGAGAATCAGGATTGTGATGCTGGTTATGGTGATGGTGGTTGTGATGATGATAGCGGTGTGCCCACAATGATGTTGATAAGGATGATGACGTTGGTGTTGATGTTGATGATGTGAATTCGCAGGGTACTAAAGAGGATGCAGTTGGCGAGAGCGGCGATGGTGATGGTGGTGTTGCTGATGATGATGGAGATGATGATGACGATGATGATGTTGATGCTGATGTTGATGATGATGACGATGACTATGAGGCCGTTGATGATGACGAGGAGGAGGATGAGGATGATGACGGTGGCCATGGTGATGGTGGTGGGTATGTTGATGACGACCGTTATGATGAAGATGATGAAGAGCAAGAGGTAGGCCATCATATGCTACGTCTTCCGTCTGCACATCTTGTGGAGCCCATGAAAGGGGCCGTCCTGGGGCTGTTTTTGGCTTTTGCGAGGAGGGGGAAAGAGGATGGAGGAGGGAGGGCGAGGGAAGAGGGAGAAACGGGCAGGCAAGAGGTATGGGGGAGGAGGGAGGAGGGAGGAGTGAGAAAGGAGGAGGAGAGGAGGGGAGGGAGGCAGGGATGAGGGAGGAGGGAGAGGTGAAGGAGGAGGAGGAGGAGGAGGAGCAGAGAGGAAGGAGCATGAGGAGGGAGGAGGAGGAGGAGGAGGAGGAGGAGGAGGAGGAGGAGCAGGAGGAGGAGGAGGAGGAGGGAGGAAGCGGAGGGCGCCCTCTTGGGCCGTTTCGGGGTCGTCTTGGGAGCCTCTTGAGCCGTCTTCACACGATCTCGGGGGCTTCTGGGACCGTCGGAAGCAAAGCCCCCCCGCCCCCGAGCACTGCATGGCGCCGGGAATGGCGTCCCCCCCCCCTCCCCCCTTGCAGAGCGAACCCTCCCCCCCTCCTGGCTCCCGAGCACTGAATGGCGTCGGGGAGGATGGCGTCCCCCCCCCCCCCCCCCCTTGCAGGGCGAACCCCGCCCCGGCTCCCGAGCACTCGTCCACCCCCCCCCCCTGCAGAGCGAACCCTCCCCCCCCCGGGCTCCGAGCACTGAATGGCGTCGGGAATGGCGCCCCCCCCCCCCCCCCCCCAGGCAGAGCGACCCCCCCCTCCCGGGCTCCCGAGCATTGAATGACGTCGGGAATGGCGTCCCCCCGCCTTGCACTTGCAGAGCGAAGCCCCCCCCGGCCGGCTCCCGAGCACTGGTCCACCCCCCCACTTGCAGAGCGAACCCTCCCCCCCACCCCGGGCTCCCGAGCACCGAATGGCGTTGGGCCTGGCGTTCCTCCCCCCCTCCGTGCAGAGCGACCCCCCCCCCGGCTCGCGAGCACTGAATGGCGTCGGGTATGGCGTCCCCCCCCCCCCGTGCAGAGCGACCCCCCCGCCGACTCGCGAGCACTGAATGGCGTCGGGAATTGGTTCCCCTCCCCTTGCAGAGCAAACCTTGAGCGAGCTCAAGTCCACGCTCTCAGAAGCTCACACGCCGAATTGGCGGATATTCATGAAATTATAGTAATACTGGTAAGAAGAATACGTGTACTGATAGTAAGATTGGTAATACTAATCGTAGTCGGAAGGAGAAGAAGGAGAAGAAGCAGCTGCACAAACTCGGCGGCGAGCTGCGGGGGGCAGTGCTCGTTTCGATTATTTCAGTTCGATGTGATTCGATTTCGATGGCTTCCAATGCCGATTCGGTCTGGATTCAGATTCCGATGTGGATTCCGACTTCTCAACGTAAGCCTACTACCCTGCCGATTTCCGCCGATTCGACTTCTCCCGACTCGGTTGCCGATTTACACCGACCCGGTTCCTTTCGATCGCCGATCCGTTTTATCCATTCGATTCTGGTCTTGTGGGCGGAAAGGAGTGAGAAGGGGGCGGGCCTTCTCAGAAGGCTCGGGAGGTCGCTGGTCAGCCGAGAAGTGTTCTAAGGAAGCCGGGGGGCTTCTAAGAAAGCCAGGAGGCTTCCGAGAAGGCTCGTCCCCTCTCACGCCCCCCCCCCAGGCGCGCCGCCTACAAGTACAAGCTTTCGGAGCTCCGCGCGCATGTCTCAGATCGCTTCTGGGCGTTGGAGCCGACGGGGGGTCTGAGATGGCCCAGCACTGCTTCTGGCCAGCAGGGCCTTCGGACCGTCAAACAGGTATCTGCGGTGATAAACTGACAAGATGGACCCCTGGGAGGGGCTTGCGGCTCCATTTTGAGCGACTGTGCTTATCCCCCCTCTTGGTCGATTTTCTCGGAGCCCAGCCAATCCAGACCCTCCCCGCCCCCCGGCCGCCTCCAAGATGGGCCCCCCTGGCGGCGCCCCTCACGACGCGGCCCCTGCGCCGATCGAAGACATCTGTGCGGCCCTCCAGAAGCGCATGTTGATGAAGTCGTTCCACGCAATCGTTCCTCAAATATGTATTAGCATAAAGGGGTTGTTACCAAGCCACATGGATTCTGTTTTTGTTGACCTTTTCCGGCTTTGTTGACGTGGCTATTGTTGACGTAACCATTGTTTTGTTTCATGTGGTTTGTGCATTCGTGCTTGGGGTCTCATCTGGGTTGTGTTGCTTTTTGGGGGCTTGACATAGGGTTGTGTTTTTTCATGTGGGTTGTGTTTCATGGGTCGACACAGGGATCACACTTCTTTTGTTGCTGCGGAGGAGGCGAGCGTCACAGCCTGCATGCGGCAGGTGGGATCCGTGTCCCCCCGGCCCGCGCAGCCCCTCTCGCCCCCCCCACCCCCCTGGGCATCAGCAGCAAGCGCTCTCGCGCGCACTGGGCCCCACCAGCAAGGGCCGAGTGACGGCCCCGTCATGAAGCATGCGAGGCCGGAGGGCAACGGGTCCTGCAGTTCTTTGTAGTTTCCGACCTGCGGGCGCCCTCCACGGGCCTGAGACATGTCGTCAAGCAACGCCTCGGGACGAAGCACTGGTTTTGGCTGAAAACCGCGAAGTCCAGGACCCCTTTCCCTCAGGACCCGTCTGCTTCATGAGAACGATCCGACACTGCGGTGCGGGGATTTATCCATAACCACAGCCTCGGGAATCGACGTGCTCGTTGCCCTAGCACATTGCTAGAATGGTTCAGCTCTTTAAGTACCCATATCCACCTTGCCGAGGTCCCTCCCAGGCTGTGATCATGGATAAGCCCCCGCCTCCAAAAACGTCCCTGCCACCCCCACCCCACTCGCAGTCGCTCCGGGGGGAAGCTCAACAGAATTCCGAATGTTGTCGAAGGAACATGGGCTGCTGAAATGGCGTCGACGGGAGCACCGGGATGTCGAGAAGAACCCAATAACGAGCCAAACAAAGGGAGGGTGAACGAAAACAAAATCTTCATGTAACGAGAAACGTAGACATGGTGATGGAACTCGTCGATGTTTTTTATGTCGGGTGCACGTTGGGCGCGCATGGTGTGGCGCCGCGTCGCATGTCTAGCACCGCGCTTGCACATGAATGTCAGCTTGTGGCCCATAGCCAAGAAGCCGGGCGAGTGATCAAACACACGTTCCCCCTGCTTGGGCTAACTGCGGCGGGGCGCCAGCCCGACGGAAGCACATGACGGCGGCGTCCGTGATCAGAGCCGGCACGCGGCCGCCAGCTTTAAGTCGGGCATGTCCCTCTACAAGAGGAGTTGTCAATATTTTAAAAAATAGTAAACCAATAGTCTGGGACTTTCTCTTTTTCTCTATTTGGTTTGAGCATGTTTCTGCTATTCCTCATTTTTCATACAACATCCGCCTCTAGGAGAACATGCCCGACCTAACGCCGGCTGGAGGGCGACAGGTGCGTCGCGAGCGGCAGCAGCGCCTCCGCTACAGCGGGGCGGTTGGGCCAGCATGGCGCCAGACCAGCAGGGCAGGAGGTGCGGCGAGCGAGGGGGGAAAGTGAGAAGGAGAAGGCCTTCTCTAGGGGAGCGAAGAAAGACATAAACACCAAAACTCGGAGGTCCGCGCGGATTTCTCGGATCTGCTCTGGACCCCTCTCCCTGGTGCGCGGAGCGCGCCATGGGCGGCGCCGGCGAGAAATCCGCGCGGACCTCCGAGTTTTTATGTTTCTGTCATTCTTCGTTCCCCTAGGAGAAGGCCTTCTCAGAAGGTTCGGAAGTCCCCCGGCCTTCTGGGAAATTGTCGAAGCCTTCCCCGAAAACAAAGAAACATTTCTCTCAGAAGGCGCGAGGGCTCCTGAGGAGTCCCGCCGCCTTCTGAGAAGGCCTTCCCCTGCTCATTTCCCCCCCTCGCTCGCCGCCAAAAGGAGGAGGCTGGCAGGAGGAGCGCCCCACGGTCGGCGGGCGGGGCCGACGTGGTTCCACCCAGCGGGGAAGAGGCCCAGGGGAAGAGGGGGAGGCGGAGGAGGAGGAGGAGGAGGAGGAGGAGGAGGAGGAGGAGGAGGAGGAGGAGGAGGAGGAGGAGGAGGAGGAGGAGGAGGAGGAGGAGGAGGAGGAGGGGGGAGGCAAGCGGCCGAGGCGAGCGGCAGGGGCTCCTCCTTCGGGCCCCCTCGGGGTCGACAGCGACGGCACCAGAGGGCGACGACGGAGCGACCGACGCCGCGCGCTGCGAGTGCCCCACGCAAAACGACATGGAGATCGGGACAAACTCGGATCGGGATAACTCGAGATCTCTGAGAATCGGCGGGTTTGGAGGATGTATTGGGCGCCGCGGCCGCTCCAGAGCGTTCCGGAACGCTCTGAGAGCGCTCTGGAACGCTCTGGAGCGATTTATCCCGATCCTAGCCCTGTTTTACCATGGGGTGGCTGCGTGGGCGGACCGACGTGGCCGAAGTCGACGGCAACGGTGACGTGGCGACGGCGGGAGGACCGGCAAGCGCGCTGCGGCGCTGCGCATGCCCCATCAGCGGGGGGGGGGCGCGGGAGGCGGGGCGCTGCGCGGGGCCGTCGTGGACGACGACGACGACGACGACGACGACGACGACGCCGACGACGACGACGACGACGAGGGCGACGACGGCGACGACGACGACGGCGACGACGGCGACGACGGCGACGGCGACGGCGACGGCGACGGCGACGACGACGACGACGCAGTAGCAGTCTTGGGGGCAGTATGCTGGTAGCGAGTAGCAGCGTTGGAGGCTGCAGCGTTGCTTGGCGAGGCAGGCGCCTGCCTGGCCCACTCGGGGGCCTCACGGTGGCCGCCCAGGGGCTCCTGGGCTCTCTGGGTCGACCGTCTGCGGGGCCGGATGGGGTCAAAAGGCGCGCATGTGGAAACGGCGATCCCGATGCCTCCTAAGGAGGCGGAGGGAGGTGGCCATCGCTGACGGATTTGTGCACTCCAGACTTCGTAAGAGAGGGATGGGGGGTCTCATTTCGGGGGGGGGGGGGTCTTTTCCAAGCTATCCTGGAGGGCCTGGGGGGGGCTGGGGACGATGTTTTGGAGGGTTCTCCCAGGGGGGGGGGTCTAAAACTTCTCGTCGGGGAGGGTTGAGACCCTTTTTTTTTTTTTTTACGAAATCTGGAGTACTGTGTCCCTGGCCTGCCTTCCGTAGGCCCTGCTCGGACATCTGGGGCCCTGCACAGGAAGGCTCGCCCCAGAGGGATCGAGAGGCTGACGTCCCTTCCCCAGGAAGTGGGCGTGAGATCCCCTCCCTTTTTAAAAACGAAATCTGAAACTGTGTCCCTGGCCTGCCTTCCGTAGGCCCTGCTCGGACATCTGGGGCCCTCCACGGGAAGGCTCGCCCCCGAGGCATCGAGAGGCCGACGTCCCCTCCCCAGGAGGTGGGCGTCTCCGCCGGCGGAGGGGTTCGGCAGAGGGGACGGCGGCAGCAGGAGTGCGGCGTCAACACTCAGGAGGGGAAAAACACACACAGACACAATGAATCGTCGATTCCCAGGAACATCTGGGAAAATATGGGAAGTGGGCTGGAAGACAAAAGGCCAGAAAATATGGGAAACATATGGGGAAGATTTTTGTTTGTGTGTATTGATTTGTGTGTCCTGGGGCCCCTTCAAACACTTGTGGATTCACGGCTGCTGGAGTCGGCCATGTGGGTCGGGTCGGCGCTCGCACCCGCCTCGTCCTGGTGTCGCCCCGGCGGTGTGTCGGTGCTGCTGCACGCGGTGGGCAGGAGGGAACGCCGCGCGGTGGTGCGGTAGGTTTGCGTCGTGTCGACCAGCGGCGACCCCAGCGCGGGCGTTCAAGGTTGAACGCCGCCGGCGGCCCAGAATCGATCGATGCTGAACGATCGGACGCTGCGGCAGTGGCCGATCGTTCAAGGTTGAACGATCCCTGCGGTGTCGAAAACCAGCGCTGGGGTCGGCACGACACGAACCTGCCGTACCTGTGGCGAGGCCTGAGAGTCAGCGGCCGCATGACGATGAGGGGGGCCTGGCCAGGGAGCTGGAGAGACTCGACCCGCTGCTGGCCGAGAACCCGGGCCGATGGGCGACGGCCTGGCTTTGCGTGTCGACGTGTCGGATTTGTCCGTTGCTTCTGCCCTCTCTCTTTTCCCTGCCCTTCACAATCCCCCTTGTCACACTCTGTGGCTCTTCTTTTGTACATCTATCAAAGTATCTCTGCATGTCCCTCCCTCCCTCCCTCTCTCTTTCTCTTCCCCCTCTCTCTTTGTATGTATGCATGTGCACATGTGTATATATATATGTGCATACATACATACATACCCTCTCTATCGGTCCCTCGTCATATCTCCTCTTTCTTCGTATATGCGTACATGAGATACACAGATGCGCGTGTGCCCGTTTATGTGAGGGTTCAGATGGTTGGCAACGCGCTCTTGCCAACATTATATCGGACGAGCGAGTGCTACCGCATGGGCCGACTGGGTTGTGTCACGTCTGCGCGTTTTGCAAGTCTGCATGTTGCGCCATGCATTTGATCAAAGCGGCTCTTGCTCGCTCTCATCAACGTATCGTGTTTGCCAGGTTCCGTTCGTTGTCTTTCTCCCCGACTAGCCCTCCTCGGAATTTGCGAGTTCTCCTCACTGCCTGCTGACGTTCAGTTGCCGTTCGCTCTGCATTGACCCTTCCAGTTCTGTGCTTCCCCCCTTCTCATTTACATAGTCCTGGTAAGACCTCCTGTCCAGGTGCCTTGTTCGCCACTAGCCCCGACTAGCCATGCTTCCATGTTGCCTAGTGCTGCTGGGATTCCCTTCAAGTCTCCTCAGGCAGCCCGTACTTGCCACGCTGCCCAGTTTTGTTGGGATCTCCGTTCGTTCGCCGCTGGCCTTGACAATCCCCGCTGCCATGATGCTTTACTCGTTCTGTGACCATTGCTGTTGGTTGCCCACCAGCCCCGATTTGTGTTAGTTCCTGTGGAGCTATGACCTAAGACCATGTGTTTATATGTGCTCCCGATTGCTCCCCCTTGTCCCCACTCTGCCTCACATCATCTTATCCGTATGATCTGCACCCCTTTCGCTTCCATTTTGTTCCCGTTTAATTCAATGCGCCTTCAGTTTGAGTTCATTGGCCTCCGCTAGCTTTCTGTGCTTATCCCACATGTTGCGCGCATCAAATTTGCATCAAGCTTTGCTTTACCAAGCATCAGACTGAAGAGGGGCCTGTCTGCAGGTGAACCTCCTGTCTGGCCGCCGGCGTGGCCTTTCCTCGAGCGGAGGCTCAGTGCTGCACGGCAGCGATGTTGCGGCCTGCAGGGGCCGGGGCGTGCCCCGACGTGGCGGCCGGTCAGCCGGCAGATGCCGCGGTTGGCTCGGCCGCCCAGGATGTGCCGCAGTGCCGCCTCGCCCCCCTCGACCAGCTCGTCGCGGAGTTCCGGAGCCGTGTCGGCGCCGCGGCCCCCCCGCGCTGCGACGGCGAGTGGGAGCTCCCGAGCGACGCGAGCAGCGACTCGGAGGACCGCGGCGCGCAAAGTCGCAGCGCCGGCCGCGCGCTGCGCCCCCTCGGCGACCTCCGCCGCGACTTCGACGCGCGGCGGGCGGGCGCGGGCGCGGTGCCGACCACCTCGCCCCTGCCGGCGGCCGCCGCACATCGAGCTGTGCGCAGCGGCCAGTGCGGCGGCGCCGCCGCGGCGAGCACGGGCACGCTCGTGAAGGTGGTCCAGCACAAGGGCTTCGGCTTCATCCTGCCGGACGGCGCGGAGGTGGCGGACGTGCTGCTCCACTGCTCCCAGCTCGCAAGGGACGGACTCCTGGGCATGCGCGTGGGCGTGCGTGTCCGGTACGTGGAGGAGACGGACGCCCGCACCGGCAAGAAGCGTGCCAAGGAGGCTGCGGCGATGATAGGGGAGGAGGGGCCAGGCGGCTCTACGAATGGCGAGCTGCGTAGCCGTGCAGCTGGTGCGAGCTACAGCAGAGATGACCTCTTGAGAGCTTTTGAGAGGATTGGGCGACCTTCCAATGGATCATCTCGCTGCATGTTCACGACCGTCCGCATTCCACAGGGACCCTGCTGGGCACCATTCAAGCATCACGGGAGCCTCGACGACGAGTACCTCATAGGGAAGCTGGAGGAGCGCCTCTCTAAGGAGTCAGGCTTCGACGACATGAACGAGGAGACCTTCGGAGAGAGCAGCGGCTGGTCGTTCGAAGAGGCGGTGGCCGCCAACGCCAAGCTGGCCGTCAGCCTGCCGTTCGGCTTGGGCGCCGCGGCGGTTACCGCCGCGGAGATGGCAGAGAAGCACTGCTTCTTCACACTAGCGGACAGCACCACTGGCAGCGGCTCCAGCGCCACTGGCTGCAGCCCCAGCGGGCCCTCCCCCGGCGAGAGCCCCTCTGGCAGCCCGCTGCTGCGTGCGGCGAGGGGCGAGGGTGCCGTTGCGCTCCACGCGCTCGCGGGCTTGCAGCTCCAGTAGCGGCCTGGCATGGCGCGTGCCCTCGCTGCACGAGGAGATGTGCCACACGTATTCGCGCTGCCGCACAAATTGCCGCGCATGATTTTAAAAGGGCGTGCGTTTTTGTGACTGATTGGCCGACGACTTGTTCTGTGTGAGGGCAGGCTTGCACGATCCTTCCTGCGAGCCCGAAATTTCATCCGCTGGTCAGGCCGCCCAAAGCGTTGGCCTGAGGCACTTCTGACTTTGTGTATATACAGGCCACAAGCCGACGAGCCATCCCTCAGCCAAGGGAGCGGCGGGAACTCGACGCTCGTCTCGGCAAGATGGCGTGCGGTAGGAGGACCACTTCTCAGGCGAGGGGTAGTCTGTACCTCCGACGAGTTGTTCTGCTCGGCATCCCCACCTCCGGCGATCTGGAACACATGGCCGTCCATGCTGTTCTTGTACATAGAGCGGGGAGAGCAGCGACGCGGGCGGCATCTCGACGTCTTACCACCTGTGCTTCACACTCTCGTTCTGCATGGTGATAGAACGGCAGGGCATGACGGGGAGGTTCACAGGAAGTTCATGCGCCCGCCCCTGTCCAGAGGCACAGTTATCTCGCGATCCGGTTGCATCTAACAACGACCTTCCGCATGCCTACTGGGTTGGTTTTACAATTGCCATGGTCTTCAGGCCATCATCATGTGCAGATGTTTGCATACGCGTTGATATGTTCATCCAGCCAAATCTGTTTCTACTTACTATGTGTTATGTCTCTGCTTGTCCGTCTACCCTGCTTGACTGCCATTATCGATATGAGTCGGATGGGCATTTGGTTGATCATAGCATGTGTGCAGCCATTGAAGAGCACCAAGGGGTCATCCTTGGCCTGAGCTAGGACATGCCTGGCGACAAGAAAGGAAACGCCTGAGTTTTGTGCTCGAAGTTCGTCGGAACGCCTCTGTCCCCTTCATGTGCCCACACTTGTCGCTGTGACACCCGCCTCAGCGGTAGGGGTCTATGAATCTCGAGGCTCTGAGGTAGTCGGTTGCCTTTTTTCCCTGGGCCGCACGATATCGTCCACACCTGCTCTGCAGATGGTCTTCTCTGGACCGTGACCACTTCGGCAATGACTGCGTAGCTCGCTTAGGGAACTTGTTGTATCTACTTTCGCGCTTCGTCAGAACCCCCACCCAGCCCAGACCCTCGACCCGACCCCTAGTCAACTTTAGGGAGACGCGCCGAAGGCGTATCAGGTGACCTACGCGTTGTGCCCCTCCCCGGGTTGGCCCAGCCATTCCCGGTGAATTTCGCTTCGAGTTGATGTCTGCTCTTGTCCCCCAAGCAGTGCTCGCACTTGAGGTCTCCGATTTGGCCTCCGAAGAAACGGCCCCCTCGTGGCGCGACTCTGTTATGTGGTCGGCGGTTCTCGCCCCACTCCCCAACCTAGGGCCGAATCTGAAGTCGGGGATGTCTCTCTACGGGAGGAGTATTCGAGAATGATAAAGATTCGTCTTGGGAGAATGGTTCGTGCTCTTTTGACGACGTCTGAAGCTGGTTGTTGTTGCAAGAAATATCCTTCCAACATCTGCATGTCGGAGGACATGCCCGACCTAAGCCTAATCGTCGCGGGTCAACACGACAGGGCCCCACACGATCACTTCCCCACGGTAGGGCCCAGCATGGTCAGGCTCCTCACGACCAGACTCCACACAATGGCACCCCGTCGTAAATTGCGCCCCATGGGCACGTATCCCACAGACTGCTTTCCACGATTGCACACCATGGACCGAAGCCCACAGATGCGCATCCCACAGACTGCGCGGCATTGACTACACGGATCCGTAGTTTCCGACCCATGCCGGCGACAAACGCAGAAGAGTATGTAAGTTATCTCTACCTCAGTCCCCTCCCCTTCCCTTCCCGCCCTCCATCTTCTTAGATTCTCGTTTTGGGGGACCTTGGGCCGGGGGACCACCAAACGGATCTGTTCGACGCCAGTTCGGCTACCCTTCGACTCTAGCTTGACTCAAGTTGGACTCAGGGCGACCGACGTTGGACGCAGCGTCGACGCATGAGTGGAGCGAGTGTCCCCAGGAAGGTCCCCAGAACGAGCATCCAATTTCAGCGGCGTGCGCGTGGTTCTAAACTCGGCCTTTATAGATTTGCTCTCCAGCGCTCGTTTCGGCCTCCAGTTATGACCTTCAAAGCAGCCGCGATGACACCAAGACCGCTCAAGATGACCCAGCACAGCTCAAGAGGCTCCCAAGACGGCCTCAAGACGGCTCGAGAGGCTTCCAACATGGCCGACGAGGGCTTCGAGAAGCCTGGGTCTTCGGGTTAGTTCTGGGTGGTCTGGTAGGTCCGCAGTCACCAATGGAGTAGATCTACGCCGTTTCTGGCGCCTGTTCCAAGCATGTGGAGTCTGCCCCACAGGGCGCACTGTTGCACACAGTCGCACTGAGCGGAGGTCCGGAGCCAGACCCCCCCCCACTGACCCCCCCTTCCGCCCAATGTAGTCGAAACGCCGACAAAGGAAACGTTCAATTATGGCAACGCGGGTTAGTGACGGGTCTCGCTTCCATAAGACGTCGATGCGCTCCGTCGCCACAGGCGGCGACATTGGCTTGGGGTGCCTCCCCCAGCATCCACAGATCTGGCGCCCGCGCGCCAGATCCAGGGATCCCCCAGCCATGTTGGAGTGTGCCCGAGAGGCTTCAGGGCTGGCCCCGCCTCAGGTGATGATGGGCCTGTTTTCCACCACCACCACCATAAGTTGGAGGGTGAGGGGGTCCTCTTCCTCCTCCTCCTCCTCCTCTTCGTCGTCGTCCTCCTCCTCCTCCTCCTCCTCCTCCTCCTCCTCCAGCTTATGGTGGTGGTGGTGGAAAACAGGCCCATCAGGTGATGTTCCCCATCAGGCACCCGGAGGTCTGGGACATGTACAAGAAGCACGAGGCGCCCCGCCCGCGGTGGCCCTCCGTGCGCGGCTGCCGTCGGGTGACTCCTTCCGTCGGCCTGGCCGCGTGCGGCTCGATGCGCTGGCCCCGGCTTGGGGGGGGGAGGGGGTGCGGCGGAGGAGGAGGAGGAGGAGGTGGAGGAGGATGAGGTGGAGGAGGATGAGGAGGAGGAGGAGAGGAGGAGGAGGAGGAGGAGGAGGAGGTGGAGGTGGAGGAGGAGGAGGAGGAGGAGAGGAGGAGGAGGAGGAGGAGGGAGGAGGGGGAGGAGGAGGAGGGCTGGGCACCGATGGGGACCTGAAGGCTTCTCGGCCCGGGGACGGGCCCCGACGCCTGACGCCAGGCCGTGCCTCGGCGAGCGCCCGCGCGTCGGCGCACGCGGCGCGTCGAGGCCCGTGCTGGAGCCGGCGGCCTGATGCTGTCTGGACTGCCAGGACGCGGCACAGACTTTGATGGGCAATGTTTTCCTCCGCCACCACCACCATCAGTTGGAGAGGGGAAGGAGGAGGAGGAGGACGAGGAGGAGGAGGAGGAGGAGGAGGAGAGAGATGAGGAGGAGCAGGAGGCGGAGGAAGAGGTGGACGAGGAGGAGGAGGAGGAGGAGGAGGAGGAGGAGGAAGAGGAGGTGGAGGAGGAGGAGGAGGAGGAGGAGGAGGACCCCCTCCCCCTCCAACTTATGGTGGTGGTGGAAAAAAGGCCCATCAGACTTGACAGCACACCGGGTGGTGGCGATGGTGGGCTGGCAGTGCTCTGCGCCTCGCCACGACAGCGGGCAGGCTCCCCGGAGGTGTCAAGTGAGAGTGGGCCAGGCCAGTCAAGAACCCTGAGATCCGACGTCGGGAAGAGGCAGCATCGTGGGACCGACCGGGGCTCTATGGACCGCATCTTTCTCCTGCATGTTCGAGCTGGATAGATCTGTGATGCCCCTGGGCTCCCTGGGGGGACCGCGCACTGCGCAACTTTCGCCACGTTCATGGGCTCCTGGGAGGTTCAGCGGAGTCCGTAGTCAAGCAGATCCCGTCGAAACCTCGCGTCTCCCCGGGGGGCTGCGAATTGCGCAGCCGTTGCCACTTTCAAGGGCTCCTGGGACGTCCAGTGGAGCGGGGGTACACGCGAATCCAGCCGAGACCTCACGGCTCCCCGGGGGGCTGCGATCTGGTAATTGTTGCATGTTTCGTGAGTTCTTGGGAGGTCCAGCGGAGTCGGTAGTCACGCAGACAGAGTTCGTCGAGACCTCGCGGTTCCTTGGGGGGTTGCGGAACGAGGAGGCGGAAGGAGGAGGAGGGAGGAAGAGGGAGGAGGAGGAGGAGGGATGATGATGATGATGATGATGATGATGAGGAGGAGGAGGAGGAGGAGGAGGAGGAGGAGGAGGAGGAGGAGGAGCAGGTGGAGGTGGAGGAGGAGGGGAGCTCATCTCCCGATCGGTCCACTGCCGCGCGATTCGCACCCGGCTCTGTTGGCGCCTTGTGCTCTTCGGGAGCCCACTCTTCCCAGTCCTCAGATCTCAGATGTCGTGACTCCTGACCTGTCGTCCGGGAGCTGCCCGTGGGCTCTCCTGGGCAGAGGGAGGAGGAAGAGGGATGAGGATGAGGAGGAGGAGGAGGAGGAGGATGAGGAGGAGGAGGAGGAGGAGCTGTAAACATGCAAGCGTTCAGGTGACTGGGGAGGAATAGTAACCCTGTTGCCTTTGGCTCAAGTGTTTAAAGGCTGAAGCTACCGAGACTTGCTTCGCCGTGCGGGAGTATAAAGGTGACCTATCATCATCATTGTTACCAGGCTCCCGTGCAGAACCCTCCTCGGGGTTTTGCATGGTAGCGGAGCGCGGTTGCCATGGCGGCGGCCGCGGCCGCTGCAGCTAGGCCTGGGCAGGGCGACCCGCCGGTTAACCTCAATGTGCCGGCAGACAGAGACGCATGGGTCAACATGGACTCCAACCGCTTCAACGACCTGTGTGAGCAAGCGTACCTGAGCGGAGACTTCAGTTACGTTCAGACAGCGTTACTCGCGAACCATTTCGGACTCGCAACGTTCATCAACGAGCGAGTGACACAGGACCGAAGGGAGGTATCGAACGCCGAGGCATTCCAAATGTTACAGAGTGCTCATAAGACCAACAGCATGTTGTTAGCGATTACGAAAAGAAATGCTGCACTTGAAAGGGATGCTCGCAGACTGGTGGAAAGAGTTACCGAGTTGGAGACCAACAGCGAGGTACAAGAAAAGTTGATTGAAAAATTTGGTCAGCTTTCGGAAGCAATTAAAGGAGGAAGTGGAAGCAAGCACGGGAGCGGTAAACCGATAAGCGAATATAAGGCATTACAGGCGTTAAAGAACTTCAGTGGAGAAAGAGCAAAGTTCAGAGACTGGAACGACAAGTTCTTAAACGCACTGGCCCAAGTAAAACCGAGTTACCGACCGGCGCTGAAAATGCTAAACAAGAAGTTGGAGACGCTCGACGGAGTTGTACCAGAGGAGGACGATGATGACATCATACGCATAATGAACGGCCGATTAACAGCGAGCGAATACTTGAAGGCGAATTCAGCTAAACAAGCAGAGGATGACAACAAAGGAGAGTACGAGTTTACCGAGGGAGACAAAACTCAAATGGAGGAAGACTTATGGTACATTCTCAACGAGAAGCTCGAAGGTGCAGAAGCGAGAGGAAAATTAAAGGGACTTATGGATGGAGATGGAATCATGGCTTGGCAAAAGGTCTACAAATGGTACTCGGCTGTTACCGGAGCGACTCTGTCATCAAAGATGACACACGCCATGAACCCTGAGCCGCCCAAGAAGATTACTGACACCGTTACCCGACTTGAGGAGTGGAGCGCATTGGCAGAAAACCTTGAAAAGCACGGTGAAGATTACTCGCTGCCTCTTCCTTTTAAAGTCACCGCACTCAGGGCAATAATGGTGCATGCGAACGATTGGTTTGATGATTGGCAGCAGGCGTGCTGGCGAACGCCCGACGCGCTTAACATTGACTCATTCCAGAAGTTATACTCCAAGTGCGAAGACTGGGCGCGTAAGAAGAAACTCGATTCAGACACAAAAATAAAGATGCGATGGACATTGGGAACATCAACGAGATGGGTCAAGGGTCCGAAAATGTTTGGGACCAAACAGGATGGGTTGACGAGGACGGAAACTGGTGGCCAGAAGATGGATCGTGGAGTTACGGGTCCTGGGCCAATGAGAGTGACAGTGGGGACCATGAAGAAGTTGACGCCGTAAACAAAGGCAAAGGTAAAGGCGCGGGCCCCACGTGTTACAATTGTGGAGGCGTGGGCCATTTAGCCAGAAATTGCACAATACCTAAACAGTTTACCAAAGGAGGTAAAGGTGGCAAAGGCGGAAAAGGCAAAGGTTACCGGGCCACCTACGGATCCTACGTGAAAGGTAAGATCGGCGGTAAACAAAGTGGTAAAGGAAGTGGCTCGCGGGGTGGAAGTTATGGAGGCCAAGGAAAATTCACTCCCCATAGCGAGCGTGAGTGTTACAAGTGCGGTGCCAAAGGGCACGTCGCCATTATCTGCCCGGGCTCCAAGAAGACCACCAACGAAGTTGAGCAGGAGAGACCTACAATGAACGCTGAAAGTGAACAAACTACCTCGTTCGGCCAACCGCAACATGTTCTCAGCGTTGAGATGAAGGACGAAGTGAACGTGCCACTGAACCCACTCGCAACTGAGGAGGTTAACGGGCAATGGGATCTGCCCTCATATGCCAGAAAGAAAATGGCGCGTAGGACTGCGATGAGTATGAAAAGAATTTACCAGGAGCATCAATGTGACGGAGATTGTAATCATGTGAGTCAATGAAACCGGAGGATAAGTAAAAGCATAAAACAGGAACAAAGTTGGCTAGAGAAATGCAGAGAAATTGGGCTAATTGAAATGCGGGACTGTGATCCAGAAATTAACGCGGTGCCACCACTGAGTGCAACGCATGAGACGATCGTGGTTACCGTGGACTCTGGGGCGTATAACACAGTGGGACCCCCCAAGGTTGGCACCTATTTCCCCTTTAAGCATACGGATGCGTCAAAGCAGGGAAGACATTACAGCGCAGCGAATGGGACAACGATAAAGAATTATGGCCAACGAGTGATCACGGGCAAAAATGAACATGGAAACGCAGTCAGTATGCCGATCCAGGTAGCAGAAGTCAACAAAGTTCTGGGGTCCGTCAGAGAAATGGTAAACGCTGGAAATAGAGTTGTGTTTGACAAGGATCTTAACGGGAGGTCCCTGAGCCACATCATGAATAAGGCCACAGGCAAATTCACAACTATCCACGAGAAGAACGGCGCGTTCCAGTTCAACATTACGGTGCCGAGGGGACCGGCGGAAGCTGTCAATCCCAGGAGTGAAGTGAACGCAGCTGAGGGTTTTCCGCGGCCGGGAACCCTGGAGGCGGACCTGTTCTACTAAGCCCCCCCTTACCCGTAAGACCAAGCGAAAACTTAAACGTCTTTAATACCGAAGGAGACGAAGGGGGTGAAAGTGGGGGCAACGAGAGTGAGTTGAGTGATGTGGAAGATGTATTTGCGAGCGATGAAGCGGAGTTACCGAAGAAAGTTTACTGTGACATGAGGCCCTCAAAGGAGGAAGTTGAGACGCATAACACGACGCATTTACCTTACCGAAGCTGGTGCCCACATTGTGTTAGAGGAAAAGCACGCAGGCGCAATCACCGTAGACGCAAAAGAGAAGGGAGCGGAAACGTGCCAGTGATTTCAATGGACTACATGTGGCTTAAAGGAAAAAAGGAAGAAGGTGAAAGCGCCAGCAATGGCAACCCAATTCTGGTCATGCATTGCAGGGAGACCAAATTGACATGGAGCAGAGTGTTCTCATACTCAGTAAAGGTGGGATGTGATATAATCAGCTTTACCGGATACAAGAAGGTTATTCTCAAAAGCGATGGAGAAGCAGCAATTACGGCACTGGCCAATAGAATCAAAGCGTCATGTGACCTTGACATGGGTGT